TTAATATTATATACTGGCCTTATTGTGAAACTTTATAATAACTCTCATAAAGCTTTACCGAAAAATATTATACGCTGTTGAAATGAGAGAAAGATATGAATGTGGTAAATATTTTTGTTTTTTAGAAACTTATTAAGGTATTTAAGCTCAATTTCTAGATACGAAAGTAAATATTACGCTTTAGGGGGCTAACTTGTTTAGGGCCTTATCCTCCGAAAAAAAAATTGGTTTATTACAATATCTAGAAAAAAAATCGATTTTGTGATATAGTGTGGTGATATAATAGCTGAATTGAAGATTGTTAATTTTAATAAAATAACTGGTCTTAAATAAATTGGATATATCTCATAATAAACTGGTATAAATAAATACAATGCTAAAATAGCCACCGTTTGTAGTACTTTAATGTTTGTATTGACTTAAACTGAAACCTTTTGTTATTGCTTTCACATCTCACACTTCAAGTTTAAAGTTTTTGGTAAGAGAGTGACAAATCGATAAGGCCAGTGCAACGATTTGTCTGAAAAGTGGCTAAGTTATAGTTTTATAATATAAAAGCTATTATATATTGCTCAATTGACATATCAAATAAACAATTGGTCTAAAATAAACTGGTATAAGATCTCATAATAAACTGGCATAAATAAGTATAAAGCTAAAATAGTGAGAGTTTGTATCATTCTAATATTTGTATTGATTTAAACTGGAAAGTTTTGTTATTGCTTTCACATTTCAAGTTTAACGTTTTTGGCAAGAGAACCCCAAGAGCAAGAGAGTGGCAAATCGAAAAGGCCAGTGCAATGATTTATCTGAAAGTTGGCTAAAGCACCTGTTTTATACTTAATTCTGAAAGCTAATTAATGTAAATAAAAAACACTGTCTCCATTTAAAATTCAATGTGAAAATACGGTAGTTTAGTAGTTTTCAATAAAACAAAAACAACTACAATGTTCAACGTGGCAACACAGCACGGCAATAACAACACCGATTGCCGTCTGGGCAACAATATTGACTTTTAACTGGCCATTAAAAGGTTGCACATTGCATTTAATAAGCAAAACAATGGCCTGTATGTATGAAATGTAGGTGTACGTTTGTATTGATATATCGAATATTTTATAACGGAATGAAAAGTGCTCGCATACAAGTTTTCAATGAGACAAGGAAAACTCTCAGTTGAAGTTCAGGGTAGTCCAAGCGTAATGTTGACTATTTAATATTGTTGCAATGCCATTCACAGTTATTGGCGTGATTTATTTACCCACATAACGGTGCACATGTATACCAAATATGTATGCAGTGGGGCACTGAGTGCATAGCGTGCCACAATGCCAGACTGCGGAGTTTTCAGCACGATTAATGGGCAAATATTTGCATTTTCGCATGCAAAAACACACATACACTTTTAGAAATATATATACCCACACACATATATATTTATATACTGACATACATACAATATAATAACAGTTTGAATTTATTTGCATGCCGTGAAGTGGCGCGAAGTGCTTGGCTATAATTTGCTKGTGAAAATTCGTGAAATTGAAAGGTGAAATCAATAGATCTAGGAGAGCAGGAAGTGGCATAAATGGAGCAATGCTAGCGAGTTAGTGAGTTCGTTCGAATTTGTAGCGCAATATGCACTCGAACCTAACTGAAATTCGAAGCGAAGGATGCTTTGCTTATGGGACTCATGGTACTGCTTTACTCACATGAAGTTATCTCCATACATGTATATATGTGTGTGTGTTTGGTCAGTTTTGAGGTGATTAGCGTTGAGGAAGTTGCTCACAAATTTTTGTTCCCCTAATGGCAAGGTAAGTGCGCAGTGCTAGCTATTTATGGGATCTATGATATCGAAAAACCAAACAGACAGTGCTTGAGAAACTCATAACTCTATGGTTATGTAATGTTTAAATTATTATTTTTTTTATATTCATATATATTCATAAATATTTAAAAACCAAAAAAAAAAATTACAGGAAGTCTTTATTATGAAAATTTTATTGGATTGGTATGAAAAGGTAATTGAAGGTGTGAACCTTTCCTTTACAAATGCTATGTACACATCAATACCCATTGCTTTATTACATAACCCAATAGCCAGCACCAGACAAAATGTGTGTGTGTTGTGGCAATTACGAACATGGTAGACCTTTCGTAAATCATTATGGTAAAATAGTATTTCATTTTTTCAACATACTCGAATGTGTCTAATTTCATACAAAGTTAAACTAATAATTTATAATATCTGGAAAAAAGTCTATAAACAGTTAATAATTGAAAGATATATGTGTGTAGTGCATAAGGGATTATATTCACTACTCACATAATAGTTTGTCAAAAAGTCTTGCGGTATTTTTTATTTATTTTTTTAATTATTTTATCACGGTGTGATGACTCGTGCCCACCTCGTGCCCACCTCTTGACCGGTGCTACGGCTGCTACTATGCCGGTCCAATTCAGCGGTTTTATCGCAATTTTTGACGACAGGCCTTCCGGAGCGTGGCGCATCTTGACCACCTCTACACCAGAACGAAAACGTTGAAACCATCATTGTGCGGTGGAAATGGAAACTGTATTGGGTCCATAAACTGCACAAATTTTATTGGCAGCTTGAGATGAATTTTTGCCTTTATCGTAGTAGTACTGTAAAATATGCCGTATTTTCTCTTTATTTTGATCCATGTCTGCGACGCTATAACTCACGAACGACTTAAAAGAAAGAAACGACAATCAATCAAACACGTGTTAGCGGGTGAAATGAGCTTTCCAGAAAGGTATAGCATGACCCGATGCGACGAATAAAACTAGAACTACGCGCTCTCAGCGTAGCCAACTAGCGAAAATACCGCAAGAATTTTTAACAACCTATTATATTTGAAAATAAGCTCCGAATATTTGAAACGCAGTATAACTATATGCAACAAAATCTAAACCCAGTGTAATCTTAAAGCCTTAAAAGTGTTGTTCTCGAAACGTTTCTATCAGAGTTGGTGGAGAACATTTCACGTAAATTTTTAAGCTATATTTGTCAGCTTATGATCGAAGGAATAATATTTTTGATAAAAATTTCGCTTTTTGAAGCCACTCTGATTTTACTTTCTGTACATTTTTTCACACAAATCAACTTTTCTTTCTGGGAAGCCGATATCTCAAGAATCAAAATTTTGACTAGCCCTTCTACCATTATCTGTGTTCATTTTAAAATGAATTACCTAAAAAAATGATATCTAAAAATGAATATTTATTTATTTATTAAATAGAATGCCGCTTGAAAATTTCGGAAAAAGAGTGTTTCCTACTTTCAAGGGGACATCGTAAAAAAAAAAACCTTAGAGATGCTTATTTTTTAGAAACTTTTAATGCTTTATTTTTATTTCCCTTGTTTTGTGAACTCTATGAAACAATATGAACATGTTTTAAAAATATATTGTTAACAATTATTATTACACAGTTGGCCACACTCTCAAAGAAAAAAGTTCTGATTTAACCGAAAGTATCCTTCAAAAGGGTTGGTTTACAACTGCAGAAGTTAGTTTCCAATAGTCTAGATTTTACAGAATTTACTCTTTTTATAAAATGACTACCACTACAAATACATATATTAATTTATAATATTTTTTTTATTTTTCTTAGGATCATATTGGAGTTTATTGCTAATAAAAATGTTATTTCAAACCATTGGAGCCTCCATTTCAATATCTATTCTCGAAACGTTTTATAACTGAAGAAGAGGGTATATTCTTCCAATTTGTTATCTTCAAAATAATTGGCAATTTTGTTTACTACAGGTACTTTTGGCTTTCAAATTAAAAAAAAAAAAATTATTAAAAAATTTTTATTGTGAGTGCTTCATAACTGTTACTCTAACTAGGAAATCAATTTCAATTCAATAATTGGTTGTTGCTGTAAGTTATCTATATTTATATTAGCTTTTTTTATTCTAAAACACTTTTATGCTGATACATATAATTTAGTATGGTAACAAGTAAGGATGGAAACATTTCACACTCTTGTAAATTGTCAGGATAAAAGCTAGGAAAATACCTTCAGGAGCATACGGTTTGTTAGTTATATGTGCTCCAGCGTAAGGTTTTATGATTTTAGGCAGAAAAAAAGTGTACGGTTATTCAAAAAAACGTCTCAAAGGCACTATACAAACGTGTAAAGGCTTGTCCAGATACGTTGATTGGTTCTTGAATTGATTACTGAAAAGTGAAGGAATCAGGTGGAAATTAAAATTATGTTCTATTTGAAGCAGGCGTGGTTGTAGTCCGATTGCGTCCATTTTCACAGTGAATCATATGGAAATGTCATAGTCATGTTATTTAACGAATATATGTGATTTTAACCGAATGTTGGTGGTGCCACCCCTACCGTCCAATTTTCACATCGACTTCCAGAAAGTCCTTTCACACCGTATCGGGTGTAAAATGTCATATTCCTAGTGCATCTATTTGTCGCACTTTTTCGCAAAGTTTTTAACAAAACCGTTATATAGGGAGTGGGTGGGGTTATAATACGAAATTTTCTCTGAATTTTGTTAGCATAGTAGATTAAATGATTAAGGAGGTATGTATGTGTTTTAATTGTATGTAATTTCTTTTTTGTCTTTATTTAATTGTATAAGTATTATCTAGAAATTTTTAGCTCTGTTGGTGCGTTGTATATTCACAGTATCTGTTGCTAGTTATCATTTGACATTCTTAACTGATCTTTAAGAAAAAAAAAAAATATTATTTAAAAAAATATTTTCATTGACATAATTTCTCCATATTTTCTGCACTTTCTGAAAACATGAATCAAATAGCGCGCATTTAATTAACGGCACTTGACGTTCATGCCACAACTGATCAGTGTTTCGAATGCAAATGCAAAGGCAAATGAATAAATAAATAAATTGAAATTAGCTCACGACTTTTTATGGCATTAAATTTAATAAGTAAAGGCCCGAAATTTCACAATTTGCATTCACTTTTGGGAAATGTAGCACTTACACTTTGATTGCCGGCGCCGCCGTGCATTGGTATGTGTGTGTGCAGGTGGGCGAACAAAGCGAATTGTAGTTGTGGGTGTTTGGGTTGCCGAACTCTACTTCATTAAAGGGTCACCAATCAGGAGGCAGCTGCTGCCGCAAAGCCAATCGATGGTGTTGCAGCTTCTATCAACAGTATATATGTGTGTGTGTGCACTGTTTATTGCACACTTAGATGTAAGGCACCGACAACAATGGCGCGGCAAGTGAAGGTGCATCTGTTTATCACTTTACCGTTACGAAATTGGCGCAATCTTTGTTGTCTCGTTTCCTTTTTTTCTCGCTTGTTTACATTCACTTCTCGTCGTTTACAACACAAGTGCACTGCATTTGCTGCTGTTGTTGTTTTTTGTCAAATCATGTACTCGTAAATCGACACTTTATTTGAATGATGTTTTTTCCGTTGCTAACGGCAATGTTCTAAGTTCGTTTTTGGTGTTTTGAAATTTTTCGCGCACCACCGTTTTAAACTGCTCAACAGTTTAACATCGTTTGAAGTGCTCGAAACCCAAGCGCACTTCTCATAGTTGCACAAATTTGTGCTAGATGTTGCAGAGCAAAGAAAAAAAAGAAGAATATTTGTGTTAAGCGTGATGACAGCTGCAGCAGGTGGTGGTTCTCGGTTGACAGCTTAGCTTGCTGTGCCGAATGTCACTAAGGCTAAGTCCATCAGTGGGTGTATATGTCGGCTTTGCATTAATCGTATGATAAATTTTACAAATAAATGCAGATGTTTACATGCATATATACTTATGCATATCATATTTGTTAATGCTTGTAAGCAGTGCAGGTGATGGTATTCAAGCAGAAGTCAGTGAAAATGAGATTTCTTCGGCATAAGTGCCATAGTAATTTAGTTCTTTCTATTCATTTAATTAGAAAATGCATGTAAAAGTTTAAGAAAGCGGTTTAAGCTTTGATTAATTACGATCCTGTTGACCTAAAAATTGCAATTGCTGAGAATTCCAATGATGAAAATTATCGGATTTTCCATAGCGTGCTCATAAGCCTCAGCAAGTTAACGAAATGATTGGCAGATTTAAAATAATATTTACAACGTTATCTATCCAAAACCATAGACTGATAAAATACCCGAAAGTCTATTTGTTCAAAGAGGTTTAGAAAAAAACTCCGTAGGAAACGAAATTGTAAGATTAAGGGAGTGGCTTATCTTATTTGGTTCAAGATAGTTTTCGGGCTGAGTGCTCCGTCTATAACCGCGTTATTCTCGAAACTGTGTTTTTGAAGTCTGTTGGCAAGATTTTTTATTTTTCCAGCTTAGATGATCCTGTAAGGAGTTATCCTTCCAGCGAGGGGTCACCGAAAATGGCGTCACATAGGCCAAGTTTAAAATATTTTTTATTCAAAACTTACAGGATTTCTTTGTTAATAGTGTATGTTTCTAACAATGAAAGATTCTAATAAAATATTTAATTGAAATTGAAAAAATAAAAAATTATAAAAAAAGATTGTTTTAAAAGACGGTTTTTTTTGACTGAGAAAACCCATGTAAACCCTTAAACTAGAATCTGGTCATAACTTTTCCCACGTCTGTAAATATGAGTTCTTCGTTATACTAAAAATGTCATTATGCCTAATATCTATACACAAATTGCTTTTTCTATTTCGGGCTTAGAGAATAAAAACAAATATTTAACATCGAAAATCGCTTTATTGTTGTTCAAAATTTTTTTATTTAAAATCTGTACACTTTTGCATGGATTTGAAAGCATTTTCCAAGCTCTTCTGATACTCTGATTGAGATATCTTCAGGTGGCTGAAAATGGTGACATATGAATCTTTTTAACATACCGGAATAAAGTCTATCCATTCCAAGTCGGGATTGTACGATGGCTCATCAAATCCCTATTTCGAGTGGTCAAAAATGCAGTAGTTTCAGACGATGTGTGAGAGATCCGATTGTCGTGGTGAACAAGGATCCATATTCGATGGTTGGTTTTCCTGATTTCTTGAAATTCAAATGTAAAAAAAAAATTACTGTTCTGTGCTGTTCTAGTATTATGGTTGCGAAATAGTCAGTTTTTCCAAAAAAACATGCAACTTCAAAACATGGGCTTCACGTGCGAACTGATTTTGTTGGTTTTGACTCATATTGAAACATCCATACAGTCGACTGCTGTTTATTCTCGAGCTCATACGTATAATTCCACGAATCAACAACTTTCACCTTTCACCTTATCATATACGCATTTCGAAGTACCGTTATTGTGTTTTTTTAACATTTCTCTCGACCCAAACGCATCTTTTGTGAGCGATCAAATGTTGTGGGATCCAACGTACAAAGAAGACTATTTCTGCAAAAAACAAAACATATTTCTACAATGAACTATTTATGCAATATTGAATGTATGCTGGTTCCACTAAAGCCTATAGTTGCCTAAATCTCGCGATAGATCATATGTCGATCTGGCAATATCAGTGTAGGCACAGCATCAATAGTTTGGGAACAATAACTGATTTTGGACAAACTTCACGAAATCCCTCTTGGACTGATCTGCAACATGAATTGGATTCACCCGAACATCGATAATCGTTGGTCCTTAACAGAGCTTCAATGTCAAGAGTTTAGTTAGGTTCATGAATGTTTTGTTGCCGAGTTAATCCGAAACGTCGAAAAATATAAAAATAGTCACGCGAAAATGTTCGCGATTTAATTCAATTTTTTGGCCGAGATGAATATTTTAAGTTACTGTAAAGAACACAAATAGCGTTCGTTTGTCAAAACGTTCTGAGTATGTATTCATGTATAATATCAAAGATGTCAAACTTTTCGATCAAGTTGGGTGTTTCCAAACTCTAACACTAGAGTTGTCAAACCCCCAAAATATAATATAATAAAAAGACAACCTGCACATGCATGTCACTAATTTGAAATGCTTGTTAAAAACTACTAAAAGCGTTATAAATCAATAAATCAACGCGCCGAGAACATTTAGTTGTACACCCCAGATGGTACGAAATGGCTTAATAAGAGCTGGTGGCGATGTTCTTAGCACCGCCCACATTTAAGTAAACACCCAATAAAGAAAAGTTAAAAAGTTAGCAAAGATCCACCCTAATGTATAAGTTCTTTTCGCACTCAGCGCATGCTTTTTCTTGCAGAGTGACGATGGTGTCTTCATTAGCTTGAAACAAATTTCATATCACGCGCCTGCGGTTTTAAATTGTTTACATTAAAGCACACACACATATACATATATTGTAGACAGACATGCCTTTGTATTTTGAGTACATTTGGTTCATGGCAGAGCTAAAAATAATCGCCATCTTAATCGCAAAAAATAAATTCATACGCTTATTTTCAATGCGTAAAGTGGCGTTGAATGCAGACATTTGAGCTTTGTTTTGCCGCTGGCAGTGTGGCCTTGTGCGCGTGCAACTGTCGCTTTGGCAATAATTGAAAATGAAATGCGCCAAATCTGCGTGTGTGCAAGAAAAAATGAATAGTGTCTTTATTGTTATTGCTGTTTGTGTTGATCAAATGTCTGGATAGTTTGGATGAATAATTAATAAATTTAAAAACAAGAAAAAAAAAAAAAATTTTTTTTTAAATTTCTTTCAAGTTGAAATATTTTAGCATAAATCAGGAACTTGTAGTAATCATCGAAGATAAAGAAGATTATATTAAAATATTTACGCCCTCCTTTCTAGTAAAATAACATACCTTAAGTGAGCATAAAAATCATTATTAAGTTATTTGGTGCTTTGAAAATTCGTGTCAAAAAGTTTGGCCTGCAAGCCAAGRATTATCAGACACTACGATCGTAATACACACTGCTTCAAATGACAGCAGAAGGATTTGACAGAGGAAAGGTAATCTCGTCCCAACAAATGAAGGCTTTATGTGATGAAATACCTCTAGTTATTCTTCCAATGAACAGCATTATAAAAATGGTAAATTTCACAAGAAAGTATAAAAGTACCCTTGGCAGCAAGGTTAAATGCAATGATTCCATGATCGACCTATCACTAAGAAATAGCACCATCAAGTGGTATACCGATCGCTCGAAAGCGACAGTGGGAACGTACTAAACTCTCCATACCTACGAAGTTTTCTGAGCATCTTCCAAGCAGAAGTCCTGGCTACAAGTCAGTGTGTAGAGATAAATCTCCAAAGTAATTATCGCAATGAAAGTATCGCGATATTCAGTGATACGCAAGCGGCACCTTTCAGCTTATGAGATTAAATCCGATACTGGTGCAATAGTACATAGAACGACTAAGCAGGCTATCCGGTCGTAAGCGAGTGCGCCTTATCTGGGTGCCTGGTCGCAAAGGTATAGACTGGCTAACGAGATTTCACACTCTGCAGCTTCCACTAGAATGTTGAGACCGAAACCCTGTATGACGGTTGATCCTCATACCATAAAGGTCTGCTCGGCAAGGTTTAAAGAATAAGTAGGGAGAAGAATCGGCAACAACTCCAAGCATGGATGAGGTCAAGTTGTTAATGGGTGGTTACAACAAGTTAAGGTTAAAAAATTTAATAAATCTGCGGAGAAACCAATTCCGGCTACTTATAGCATTTTGCACTGGCCATTCTTAGAAGCACTTATTTAACATGCGCCTAGCCTCTTGTGCAAACCGTCGATTCTGTGACATGGGTCGGAAACTCCCGAGCAGCA